ATAATAAAAATTCCATTTCTCTTTTGCTCTGCCTGAACTTGCCTTCCTTTCCTTCCTCCCAGAATTGTTTTTGTTTTGTTTTGTTTTGTTCTACAACCTTCCTGGGAGTGTGGAAGGCAGTCCCTTGCCTCCTACTTTTGCTGTATGTGTACTCCCTGTGTTTCACCGAACGTAGACCATCCTTGGTCTTCCCCTACATGTGTGATCAGCTCAGTTCTGTGAGCATGAGATGCCTGACTGTCGCCTCTTCTGCTCTACAGGAGCGGAAGCTGCACATCTACGTGTGGTACTGCCAGAACAAGCCACGATCTGAGTACATTGTGGCCGAATATGATGCCTATTTTGAGGTATGCTGTTGAGGCTTTGCTGGGAGTAGAAGGAGGCCGCTCAAAACAGCAGCATTCAAAAGTCCCAGATGTCATCTGTTCACCCCACCCTGTTGTCCCTTCATGTCAGGAACTGCTGTCTCAATAGAGTCACTAGCTTCTTAGCTTAGGTCCCACTGAGTACCTTTGCTAGTGAGGAGCAACAGGAGACACCGTTTGTAAAATGTTTCTATAACACAGAGTCCAGTTTTGGAAGCTCTGGTCCTTCCTAAGTGACTACAGAGCAGATGGTGCCCACACCCTTCTTTGTCAGCCCCTTTGGAACTACTTACCTAGAGCCCTCCTCTTGATTGAGGAGTTCTCAGTCACTTCTGCTCCCAGAGGTTCTGACCAGCACCTCCAAGCTCTTTGCTGCAGCTGAAAAGAGTAGTGTGTTGTTGAGAGGTGGTACCTTCCCTGGGAGCAATCCTGAACCAGAGTGGGTAGGCAGCAGGACCTAGCTATGTAGGCCTGTTGTGTCCAAGGGAAGCCCTTCTGCCTAACTGCCCTGGAGCAATAGAGAGAACACAGGATCTGTTCTAGCTTGTCTCCCACACCTAGGGTGAGGCCCAGGGTGTGACAGTGCCTGCCTGGAAGCATGGTAGCCAGTCAAGAAACCCAGGGTGCTGGGAGTATTAGTATTGTTCCTAACAAATGAGCAGTCATTTAGACAGCCTTCCTTTTGCATGATGCAAAGATTCTTAAACTTTATTATAAAACATGACCTGGGTATGACTCATGCCTCTAGACCTTGACCTAGAGCACCCCAATACTTGGTTTCCTTTGTTTTAAACATAGTTCCCTTGTATTTCAGGAAGTAAAACAGGAGATAAATCAAAGGCTGACACTGAGTGACTTCCTCATCAAGCCCATTCAGAGAATAACGAAATACCAATTGCTCCTCAAGGTAAAAAGCCAGAGGGCTGGGTTAGGACTGGAGAAGCATATCCTTGGGCCAGGTATTAGTGGGCAGTGGGTTTCTGGGCTCTGTCTCCATCATTCTGTCCTGAAGAACTGTGACCTGATGGGGTGAAGACAGGTTTTTGTATCACTTCCTGGTTATCCTGTTAGCTTTCCATGATGGTAAATAGTGTAGCTCTTGTTTCTACCCTGTACAATGGTTGCTTCTTAATTTTCTTTTTTCTTTTTTTTTTTTTGTATTCATTTTCTTACTTTGTCAAACTCATTTGACTCAAAATTTTAAAGATTAAAAATCTGTAAGACCATAAAGTAAGAGTACAATACAAGGGAGAGAAAAAAGAATACAAGGCCCTAGAAATGTTCCTCATCTAATATAGTCAACATATAGTCATATTTCATTGAAAACAATAGCGTAACTTGATTTTTCTTATAGAAATAAGAAGTTAAATGGAAGAAAGAGACTTGGCTTTCCTTTCTCTGATCCTATCTGGTCATAATCCCAGTTTTCTTCCTCCTTCCCAACCTTCTTCTCTCCTATCTCTTTTTTTTTTTTCTCCTATCTTTGAAAGTGAATATTTAGGAGGTGTTCTCCATGTCATTATGTCTTGCCATGACTCATAAATTCATTTCTCAGATACTACAAACCATTGTCACCCCTCCTGGGGTGGAAAGCCTATGGGGTGTTACTGCATTTTTATGATAAGTTTTTTATAGCTCTCTGTTTTGCTAACTTATTTTACCCTGGCCTTCCCCACTGCCTGCTTCCCCTCCTTGGTAGGACTTCCTGAGATACAGCGAGAAGGCGGGCTTGGAGTGTGCAGATATTGAGGTGAGTTTTGCTTGTAATGCTTACTATTACTAAGCACCATACTGGGTATCTGCCCATGAGGGGAAAAGATGTCTCCAACAACCAGAGGTCCAAGCTGACTCCTCTCCTAGGAGACAGCATGAGGAATGGCAAGTGTTGATGAGCAGAGAGTTTTCAAGAGTTCTGTGCTGGGCCAGTCCAGGGCCTAAGCCCTGCTGGTGTTTTCCTTGTGGCTCCAAGTGACATGTATGGAACAAAGGTATCATTTGACTCCTCTAACATCCTTCAGAGACTAGGTGAAGTCACAAAAGGATCCAAATAAGTCTAAGTACTGTTTGACTCTATGTATAAACCATCCTGCTTTCATTCTCCCACACTCATCCTGAGGATGACAGCCTATGTGAAGCTATGTAGAGATTATTTTAAACAAGAGAGGTTGGAACCATTTGACAGAATGGTTATTCTAGGTCAAAACCTCTAGTGTTTCCCAAGGTAGGACAAGTTGTCACTTGGGCAATTAGGAAGCAACAGACAAAGGAAGAAAATATGAGAGGAAAAAGGAATTGATGAACAAAAGCAGGAGGCTGGACAGGATGGGCTGAGTAACACCCCCCACATTGTGGTCAGTGACTTACAGCTGATGAGCATCATGCCCAATCTGAACAGAAGGCCCACAGGCCTTTGGGTTGGGCCACAGGGACCAGCATCCTCTCCTAGAATAGCAAAGCTATGGGAAGGACAGGACCCTGTCTTCCAGCCCTAACTGCCACGAGCTTCAGGCTGAGTGGTGATACCCTCCTGAGCAACTGTTGTTCTTTCCTACAGAAAGCAGTGGAGTTAATGTGCCTTGTTCCCAAACGCTGCAATGACATGATGAATCTGGGACGCCTGCAGGGCTTTGAGGTAAGCACTTAGGGATGGATCCAAGATCTCTGTCTTCTGGGAAGTAGGAATCCAGACTACTGAGGTCCTGCTTCCCCTCTCCTGGTACCCTCTTGTTTACAAGCCTGGAAAAAGCATCTATTTAGGAAGTTCAGTGACAGGCCAGAAATGGAGCTGTTGGTCAAACTTGAGGCAGAATCCTAAGAGAGTTGGAAAGACACAAGTTCTTTGTAACTTTGAATCCAATAATGCCCTCTTCCCTCTTGCTTCTTGGGACAGCGGGCTATGTGATAGAGATGGAACCTAGGCAGGAAAATGAATACTCTTTTTAAAAGTAGATCTGTTAGACAGGTCTCTATAGCTATTACATTTTTAGATCAGTGAACATTTAACTCATTTATGATGGGGCCATAATTCATGAATTCGATTATCCCACCAGTGCTACACACATAACTGTCCCATCAAGTGATGTACAACACTTTGCAGGGGTCTTTGATTACAATAATGCAAAGGAAGGTATTGATTTAGCAGACCAGGAGTTATCATATCACAATTCCTTAAGGAAAACATTAAAATGGTGCAAAAATTGTAATGGTAAAAAAGACTGATACAAGTGATAAAATCCATTTGGACCACCAGTGGCACAAGATACCTGACAGGAGCCATGCATGGACCACTCAGATGGGTTAAACCAGTGTCACGGGACACATTCCTGTTTCTGTAAGAGTGTGGGAAATCAGTGTGAAGGAAATAACTAGGTATTCCAAGGAGTGGCTGAAGTAAACACCCAGGTTTACTCAGGCTGCAATAACAAAGTGCCTTAAGTTGAGTGGCTTCAACAACAGGAACTTGTCTTTGCAGTTCTGCAGGCTAACACTGAAATCAGGTAAGAAAGAAAGGTCTGTCCAGTCCCTCTCCTGTGTGTGTAGATGGCTGCATTTCCATACACAAGGTCTTCCATATATTTTCATATTGTCCTCCCTCCCTTGTGTATCTCTATGTCCTTTTACAAAGACATCATTTGTGCCCCGCTAGGGCTCAGTCTGATGACCTCATTTTGACTTGATTGCCTCCATGTAGGCCCCATCTCCCACATTGTGAAGTACCAGAGATTGGGGTTGCCAACATAGGAATTGTGGGAGGCTGTTCAACCCAAAACAGTGAACATTTGAAGAGCAAATTGACTTCCTACTTTATACTTACTAAATGATTATTATTCACTTATGTCCAAATTAAGCATAATATGTTTTGAGCATTAATATGAAAAGGTTAAAAAATATGAAAAAGTTACAACTGACACAGTTATTGACTGGCACCTAATAGTGGCTAACACCCCTAGAGAAAGATAAGGTCTTCTAATCCTATTCCTCAGTAATTCCATAATTTAAGATTTCATTATTCCTTCTTGGAAGAAAGAGATTCCTCTAAGTTGAGATGATAGGGAAAGAAATGACTTTCTCTTGCCCCCAGGTTGAAATAGAATAGATTAAATACTAGTGAAGATGCCAGGCCACTGGAACATATTTAGCAGATGTTATTTTCAGGTGTGAGTTGGACTCATGACATTCCTGAGCCAAATCCTCCTGTCCTCTTTGCCCTTGTAGCCTGTCCTCTGTGTCTGGTTTCCAGGCTCTGTTGGCATAGAAACTAGGTAGAGGCTTTCTGTTGCTGTGAGTTTTCACAGGTCCTGGCTCTCCAAGGCAGACCTGAGCTGTTAGCGTGAGGAGTGTTACTGGGGAGAAAGGCACCTGACTTCTTGCACAGTTCTCTTTAATCATACTCAGAGTTGCTTTTGGGCCTTCTCCCTTGGCATCATGCCAAGTCTGAGACTATTGTGAATCACTCAAGTAATCTCTTCTGCTCTTCCATCTCAACATCTCTGTGTTTTTCAAATAGGAGTTTGGCTTGGCTTTCTCCAGCTCTCAGGAGAATTGACCACTAATAGGAGGAATGGCATTCAGGAGTGCTGTCTGCCCCAAGCTGGACTTCCTCATACATGTGCACGTCTCCATGTAGAGCTGATTCTTTTCTCTTTTAAATCAAGCAGTGCACCTCCTATTGTCATGGAGCCATGGAGAATTTTCTTTGAGTTCCTGCAGCTAATTTCAAAGAGCAGTGAATATCCGTCTCCTCTGAGTGTAGGACTTCAGGCAGAAGTTATAGCCCCTCAGTTTAGTTCCCTCCCTCTCAAATTCTCTGACTTTTCCTTTGGCCTTGGTTTCCTGTACCTCATGATCAAGTACTTGTGTATCATTAATAGAGCTTTTAGAGCTTTCCTGGCTAGCTGGTCACTGGCTTAATATTAACTTTGGGCCAGGGTAGAGATAAGCCTGTTTGGCGGCTGACCTTGGCAGTGCGGAGGCATGCTCCACACAGAGGGCAAGCATTTCTCCAGAACACTGAAGATGACCTCTGTGCCAGGTAATGTTTGGAAGAAAGCATCACATGTATGAAATGGGCCTTGTTTGCACTAAAGGGCAAAAGTCATCACCCAAGAAAGAGTGTATCTCTAACTGCTGTCTCAAATGTCAGGGTCTTCTGATTGCAGAGCCGAAGAAATAAAGCAAGGCTTCCCAACAGCTTCTGTGAAGACTCACACATATTCTCTTTGAAGGGACTAGACATATTCCCTTTGAAGCTGTCTCCGGAAAATCTCAGTGTAAACTAGAAAACCAAATAGGCTTTACCCCCTCGGCTGTGTAGCACATGGCCTGGTAATTGAGTCATTTCAAGAAGGGTCACAGGATCTAGAGAAAAATCTACTAGTTTATAACTTTCTGTGGTACCCCTGACTTTACTTGTTGACCAGAGCAGTATAGTAAGACATTAAAACTAGGTACTGCCATTTTCAAATTAAAAACAAGAGGAGGGAATGGACCCAGTGGTTATTTGAGGCCCTGCCTATGTCACTTCACTTAGCCATAGGTTGGTTCTTCATAACTGCAGGAGTGCCCTGGGTCTTTGGCCTACACTGCAGGGGAGTCAGGCAGACTCAGCTCTCAAAACTATACCAATGAAAGGTTTCTTCAAGCTCCAAGGGGTCTTGGAGCTTGTATTCTTTGTATTCTTTGTATTCTTTGTATTCTTCTTTTAGTAAAAAAGCACAAAGGGCCAGCATACTCCTTGATTTCTTTTTAGCTAATAATTCTGCCTTTCTCTGGCATTTTACTGAAGTTATATTTTGGGGGTTCCATCCCCTTCATTTTCACAAGGGCCCTTCAAGAATAGCCCTGGTCTGCCATAGATGAGTAGGTGAGCCCCCGTTTAGTATCTTGCCAGGGCCAAGTCTGCTGTCCCTGTCCCCAGGCTAGAGGTCACTGGGCCAACTTCCCTCTCCTCACCGTCTTCTCCTGGTCCCTGTCTCCATCAGGGCACCCTCACTGCCCAGGGCAAGCTGCTGCAGCAGGACACATTCTACGTGATCGAGCTGGACGCCGGCTTGCAGTCCCGGACCAAGGAAAGGCGTGTGTTCCTCTTTGAGCAGATCGTCATCTTCAGTGAGCTGCTCAGGAAGGGCTCCCTCACCCCAGGCTACATGTTTAAGAGGAGCATCAAGGTGAGGTTCCAGGAAGATGTGGAGAGGCAGGAAAGAGCCAGCTTCTCAGGCCACCTCCCAGACAGCAGGCACTGGATGGGGAGTGTGCTGCTGCAGGCTGTTGGATCACTGAAAGTCCTAGGGTCTTAAGGATCTGTCAGGCTAACAGCCCACCCTCAAGGAGGCTGTACAAGATACAGGGATCACCCATGAACAACAGTGAGAGGCTGGCGCCAGTCTCCATGGTGATCCTGCAGGGGGCACCGGGCCTGCCATTCGCCCAAACCCAGAGCCAAGTTATCTGTGAGATCCAAGACAAGGGTTTACTCTTGGGTCTCCTGAGATAAAAGCTTAGATCTCCTGAGACAAATACCATAGTAGGTGAATGCTTAACTATTAAAGGATCAACTCATTTTCTTTCAGATGAATTACTTGGTCTTGGAGGAGAATGTGGAGAATGACCCCTGCAAATTTGCACTGATGAACAGGGAGACTTCTGAGAGGGTTATTCTGCAAGCTGCCAACTCGGACATCCAGCAAGCCTGGGTACAGGACATCAATCAAGTCCTAGAAACACAGCGAGATTTCTTAAATGGTATGTGCCGCACCTAGTTTCTAGCAGGACCATCCCAGGGGACCCCCGCACCTCCAAGAGCCCTTCAGTCCACATTCACAGAGAGCGATGAGCCTAGATACATTTTATAAAGTCTCCAACTCTGTAGAGCTCTGAAACATGTTAAACTGCTTCTGAATCTGAATACACAAGTGGACCAGATAGGGCATGAGTAACAAGCTCCACCTTTCTAAATGAAGAGATAGTCTTTTCTTTTCTTTTCTTTTCTTTTCTTTTCTTTTTTTTCTTTTTTATTATCTGATTGTTATAGGGTCTCACTATGCAGCTCAGACTCATGGTGATCATCTTGCTTGCAGCCTCCCCAGCACTGGGATTACAGGTGTACACCACCACACCCAGATTCTGGCCACCTCAGCCCGCCCTCGCGGGCAGAGCTGGTGTGGCCTGTGGTGCGGGGATTGAGCTGTGGTCTCTGCACTGCCTAAGTTTGCCTAAGCAGGTGCTTTAGTCAGCTGAGCTATCTTGCTGACCCTGGGGATATTCTTTTGTAGGGTGTAGCATGTATGCCTTGTGTCTTCTTCTACCAGCTGACAACGTTTGGGAAAAAGTAAGATAGGCAACTCCTTGTATCATGGGCACCCTTCCAGCTGTTAATGACACTTGCTGGCTGATGACTGGTTCTCTCACAGGCTCTCTAGGGTTGTCTGGAGATAACTGGGAGTTTGGCAGATGAGTTCAGATCCCTTTTCTCCCACCAGTCTACAACCCCAACTCAGCCACCTTACTGCCTAACCTCATCCCTTTCAAATGAGAAATGATTACCCACTCTAAATATCAGTAATAGTCCCAAACTTTGTAGAACAAATCATGTTGAATACAGCTCTTGGATCCTGTAAGACTTCCCTAGGAAAATGCAGCTTTGAGCTCAGCTTAAAGAAAGGAGGTGTAAACTTTTAAATTAGCTCTGCTTTGCTGAGTTAGTGACCTTACAAGAGATCTGTATATAAGTACTCACACATACGTCCATGCACACACACACACACAAGACCAGCCTAGGTGTCCTATTTCTTCTTAGCAGTATCATACCAAGGTATGTTCATATGCAGGACCTCCTCTGGGGACCTCTTCTTGCCTGCCCACAGGTGCTCACACATGTACCTGTCCATATGCATCTCCTCACAGCCCACCCTCAGGTCTGTCACCACTTCCCACCAGTACTCGGAGCCAGACTCCATCAGATGGTATATTATAGCCTTTGCTGAGCATGTGGCACAGATATGAACACTGTGAGGAGAGCAGACATTCTGGTTGAAGACCTTGGGCACCATGGGATGTTTCTCTGGGTCTCCCTTGGCTCATCTCACGGAAAGGAGAGCTTGAGGCTAGTTCTGCTCAGCTTGTCATGGTATAGGCCATGTTGCCACCAATACTGGCCTTACAAAAGCTTCACTCCCCAGCCTGCAATGCCAGTTGTTTTCCATGGTAAGGGATTTAACACAGTTTTTATTTTAAAACAAAGAGCAAGCAGTTATGTAGCAAGATGTTGTGACTTTTTAAGATACAATGCAAGGGATCAAAGCAATTCTTTCCCTCCACACTCCAGCTGTAGAAGATTTATGGAAAAAAACTAAGTTCTAAGCCAGACTAAGTTCTAAACTAGACTAAGATCCCTAGGTCTCTTTTCGTTTTCTTCCTAGAAAACTAAAATTATATACCAGCCCAGCCCTGAAGGATGGCATCAAAAGTTGTACATAGCTTATAATTTCTAAATTTACAACTTAAAGGCCAGGCATGGTAGCATATGCCTGTGATCCCAGAACTTGGAAGGCTGAGGCAGGAGGATCACTCTGAGTTTGAGACCAACCTAAATAACACAACGAGACCTTGTCTTTAAAAAAAAAAAAAAAAATATATATATATATATATATATATATATATATATTCCATTTAAATTGCATTCTCTTAATTAGAAAGTTCTGATAATTCTAAACTAGAATAAAGAGTTTAGGTTCATCAATTCAGGACCAAAGGAAATAGGAAATTAAAGTAGAACAGCAAGTTGAAATCAGAAATGATTGATTGAAGCAACAATAACAGCTCTAATATATTAAGTGCTTGTACTGTGCCTCACTCTGTACTGTTTCACCTAATTTTTTTTTCTTTCACATGTAATGCTCATGTCTATGCAGAGAGGTATATACTAGCTTCTTGCTGTTTTCAGGTGAGAAAAAGGAGAATTAAAGAAGTTAAGAAACCTGTCCAGGTTACCAAAACAGTGACAGAACAAGGACTTAAGCCCAGAACGATAAGCATTCAGATTAGGCTCCTCACTGTAAAACATCAATATAGTCATTGGTTGTAGAATACAGTTATTGATGAGCTTCATAGAAAACAAAACAAAGAAAGAAACCAGATCAGGCATAAGACACTGAACCTGTAAGCCAAAAATACTCCAGGTCAGAGATGCAGTTTTCCTGGTCGTAAGACCTAAGTTAGGCAAATCTAGGCTGGGGTGAAGGAGTGTGGGGATCCTGTGAAGCTTGCTTATGGCATACTATGTTCAAATGGTCCAGCATAATCACTGCATATAACCCAGTAGTACTGGATCCCAAATGATAGGATTAGGTCACATGTTCTGTGTCATATGCCTACTTCACAATCCCAATGTGCTTACAGCTTGGAACTACATTTCTCTAGGCAGAGTCAGTGACCCAGGCTTTTATGTAGTTCCAGGACACTTTTCTTGTAACCATAGTGAATTATGCAGCTCTTCCTGGACTAGATATTTACCTAAATATTTGTTGCCTACATATTTCTCCCAGGAGTAGGGGCTGTGCCCTGGCAGTATTATATACTGCACTTTAGTGAGCATAAAAAACAAGGATATAGTAACAGACGAGAGCCAGTCATTTCCTTATAGAGACATGAGCAGGCATCTCACACAGCCAGTCTTCCCTCCCAAGACCTCAAGTAGAAAGGAGTGTGACCCTGACTGAGCCCTACGGAAGCGCACACCTAAAGCTGTGGAAATAGCCTTATGGTAGGAAGTTCTCAGGGATCCAGCTGCTAACCCATTTAAAAAATTGTGAATACTGATTAAAAACAGCATAGTCAGGCCAACCCCAGAAGCCATTCCATAGAATTCCACCTGAATGGCATCTGCCTGGCTCTGTACCTCTTCAGAGCTCAGGTTCTGGAATTTTGATATCTTAAACTCAGCAAAACAAAAATCACCTCATGTCTTTCTCTTCAGATCCACTTGTTCTGTTGTCCAAGCTGAACTGATTCCCATTCCCAGCCTCTAACCTAAGTGGCCTCCCGTGCCTGCTTGCTTCTTCCACGCCTGCTTGCTTCTCCTGTTTGAGTGAGGCTCTCAGCTTCTGCCCTGCTGCACACTCCTCCAGCCCTGCTGTCGTTGGGCTCTCTGCCCCTTACCTAATACTGACCCCTGGCTTCTGAATTAGCCAGGAAAGTTTTGTCTCTTCCAGTCCAGTCCCTTTGCTAACTGTTACAAGATTAGTGGTCCTGAAATGGGGCTATGATGAGAGAAGATGATAGAATCTGATAATATAGCTTAAAACTTTCAACTTCATGGAACCAAGTCTTTGCTCATGATCTGCAGAGTTAAATCCAGTCCCACCCCCTTGCTTTCTAGGTCTTAGCACACGCCCCAGCCTCCCTTACCTGTCTCTCTCCTGCCTCTCCATGGAGTCCCATAGGTCTCAGTTTCCAGCGACCTGACTATAGCCTATTCCCCAAATGTGGTGTCCTCGCTTCCTTTCTGCAGTCTAAATATCAAGAGTTAACCAGCCTCCTTCTCAAGCTGCCTATCACCACTCTCCACCCTCAAACACACACACCTGCACAGACACACACTACAGAGCCTGTTCACCTCTCCTTCCTTTTGCACAGTGCTATACTTGGGCTATGTCTCCATTTTGCTTTTGTATTTTCATTGTTTAGATAGGAGACCTGGTTGTCACCATTCCAAAGCAAGAGTAATGCTTTCCTCACATACCCACAGCATATCGGACACCAAGTGCTGTATTAGTAGGCTCCAGATTCCTGCAATATTCCCAAGCTTAGGGTGACTGTCTGCCCTTATCCTGCAGCTCTACAGTCACCCATTGAGTATCAACGGAAAGAGAGGAGCACGGCTGTGATGCGCTCCCAGCCCCCCAGGGCTCCCCAAGCCAGCCCCAGGCCCTACTCCTCTGTGCCTGTGGGCTCTGAGAAGCCGCCAAAGGGCTCCAGCTACAACCCACCTGTGCCACCCTTGAAGATATCTACCTCCAATGGCAGTCCAGGTTTCGACTGCCACCAGCCTGGTGACAAGTTTGAGTCTAGCAAGGTAAGTGCCAGCTCCTTACTCCCACTGACTGCCCCAGAAGGCTGAGCCTCAGTGGTCCTTAGGAAAATGTATCTTTTTGTGCTAATTCCTTTAACAGGAACAGTCCACTAAATACAGTCTAGTCTCAATTGTTTTTCTTTCTCCCCTTGTAAATTGAGTTAGACCAGTCCCCTCTGGCTCAGAGACTCAGTGGGAAAGGGTACTATTGCCTATAGAAACTATAGGAGCAAGAGTTATCATAATGGCAAGCATAAAAACAGGCCAGTCCTGCCAAACCAAGTAGTTGTATAGATCTTCCACAAGTCACAATTTGAGTGTTTGCCATCTTGAAAAAATATTGATCTTCCAAATGATGAACTACCTCTTTACCTCCCAGCTCTCTGCTGTTCATTAGCTGATGGCCAAGAAGCTGATATTAGAGTGGATGGGGGAAGCCCGTCTCTATAATCCACACTTCAGATGCCGTCAGGAGAGTAGTCTTATGCTAACTGCCATCCTACTCTACACAGCTAGTTTGGCCCTAGAAGACAGTCGGAGGAAGAGAAAACTGGAGAGAGTGCTAGATTAGGAATGAGACAATTCAGTTTCTATTCCAAATTCTGAAACTCACTTGCTTTCAAGCCTTGGGCTCAAGAACTCAATGAATCTATGAATAGGAACACCTACCTTTTTTTTACCTACTTGGTCCCATATTACAGGCTTATTCTTTTTTCTTGAATCATTAATTGATGTCTTTGTTAAAATTATTTATGCCCAAGTTCAGTTCTTTTTATAGTAACTATACCACCCTATTTCATCACATTACCTGGAAATGATTTTCACCCTAAAATACCCTGTCCTTGTGAGTCTCTTGAAATCATGTTGGCACTTTGTTAGCTGTACTGAAGAGCGAAGGTTCTCACCAGGCGCTAGCAGGCAGCAGGACCCTGAGGGAGTTACAGGTCTATCTAGAAGCAGCCACCCTGGTATAGATCCTTGTGACCAGGTCATGTGGGCAGCACCTACTGTGTAAACAAGTGCAGAGTGAGGGTCACTACAGGAGTTCTGTTCTCACAGGAAGTTGGGTCAAGGTCATGGCCTTGCCTTTGAACTGAACAGAAGTCTCATTCTTATACCTGTTTTAAGGAGGGTCAGAGTATAGAGGAAGACCAATTGATGCTTTTTTTAATTTTTATGAGACAGGGTCTCATTATGTAGTTCAGGTTGACCTTGAACTCGCTCTGTAGCCCAGGCTGGGCTCAAATTCACAGCAATCCTCCTGCTTCGCCCTCCAAGTGCTAAGATTACAGGCATGCACAATTGATGCTTTTCAAAAAGGAAAAAAAAATGTATTAGCCAAGGGTTTGTGTTCTTTGCACAAAGGAAAACTGTGACCTCTGACCTGACATTTGCCCTTTACCTCACTTTGCCCAGGTGCTCAGGTGCCCCTGTGCCAATGCCAGATTCTCCTTTTTGTCAGCAATATGAGCTGTTAGGAGAGTTGAATGCTAGGAAGGGGCTTCCAGGTTAAAGTCTCTTTGTTACTTTTCCCAGACTGAGACTGGGCAGAGTCTGATTGCCTGTGTCTATGCCTGTGTCTATGCACCCCTGATTATAATACCATAAGAAACATTGCTGTTTAAAAAAAAAAAAAAACTTTCAAAGCATATTTATGATATAATGTGATTTTCAAGGAGTGTTCAGCTAGCTTTTACCCTTCCGGTGGAAAGTTTGCACCTTAGCCATGCAGTATGGCCCAGAGCCAAGCTCTTGTGATCTAGCCTCTTTGTGTTTGTGTCCCCATATGCTGTTCTCCAAGCAGAATGACCTGGGGGGCTGCAATGGGACCTCATCTATGGCCGTGATCAAAGATTATTATGCACTGAAGGAGAATGAAATCTGTGTGAGCCAAGGTGAAGTGGTCCAGGTCCTCGCCGTCAACCAGCAAAACATGTGCCTGGTGTACCAGCCAGCCAGTGACCATTCGCCCGCCGCCGAGGGCTGGGTCCCGGGCAGCATCCTGGCGCCCCTCAGCAAAGCTGCAGCAGCAGGAGAAAGTAGTGATGGCAGCATCAAGTAAGTGCCTCATTGGCTTCCCTGGGAGAGGAGTTTGTGGATGAAAACATTCAAAAACAAACCAAAGAACACATGGTAGGGAATCACTGCTGTGCATTCTCTGCCCTGTCCCCAAGACACAGGGGCCATGGCAGCAGGGGCATCCAGGCCAGCTTGTTCTGGATTTTTAGTTGTTGATGGTGATGGGTTTTCTTTCCTTTTTATTTATAATTTTCTGTTCATTTTTTTCTCCTCTTTTTTTCTCCCTACTCATTATGCCAAGAGCCCTACTGAAATCCTAGGTAACAAAAGGCACGCCTTCCGTTGCTACATTTGACTCACCATGGGACTCACTGAACTGGACTGTTATTTATATTGTATGAAGTTACTTATATATATATATTTTTTTTTGATTGACACCAAAAATGATCTTAGCAAAAATACCAGACCTGGAAAGGTCAGAGGCCTGCTGCTTATCCCAGGAGAGAGGAAACTTTTTGGTTGTCTATGGAGATTCCTCTGTACAGATTGTAACTTTTTTTTTCCCCTTCCTGTCACTTTAATATATGTTCATAGTAATTTGTAAGATATTTCTTTTCCTTATTTTGGTTGCGAAGACCCATCTGAACACATTCCTGTATAAAGTATTTTGCACTATTTAAAGAAACCCATATGGATGAAGTCAGGCTGTGCAATATAATGGAGAGTCACAATGTTTATCATTGTACCTGTAATGTAACTAACAATTTTAAATGTACTATTTTAAATATGTAAAATAAATTTTCACCATGAGCATGTTTTAATGAGGTTAAAGACTAGTTGAACCTTTATCCCGTCATTATTCTCAGATTTGAAGGGGGCAAGTGAATCTCCTTCTTCCTCCATTTCTTCTTCTTTGTCCTCTTCTTCTTCCTCCTCCTCTTCCTCTTCTTCCTCCTCTTCCTTTCCTTCTCTCTCTCCTCTCTCTCCCTGTCTTTCTCCTGCTCCTGCTCCTTCTCTTTCTTCTTCTCCTCCCCCTCCTCCTCCTCCTTTTTTTCTTCTATACTTTAGGAACTGGTGAACGCATTGGCAATTTGGGTCTACACAAAGTACCTTTGTCATCAAAGCTCTAATCCTAGCATTCCCTTCTAAACAGCCCTTACTGGTTTTCTCTGACTTATAAGATGAAGAATGATGCAGATTGGATGCTTTCCAGTGAGTTCCCAGCAGCTGAGCAACAATGGGTACTGACTTAAATGAACAAGTAGAGTAGAGGCCATGTGTGGTGTGTTTCCCATGGAAGGGCCGTGGTGATTCCCTGAGGTACCTGAATGGCGGCACCAGCAGCACCAAATTGCCTTAGCCCTTCCTGTAAGTTGAGGTGAAAGCCACTGGTGTCACACTGGCCTTACCAGGTAACCACAGGCCTGACTAGAAGCTAGCAGTGGCCCCTGAGGTCCAGTCCACTTTACTGTAAGGACACTTGGTTTTGTCACTTTCTAGGAAGCCTTGGAAATAAAGATTCTCAGAACACTAAAGTTCTTATTAATGGAGTACTTTAAAAACTGGTTCTTAATGACTAATGCTCTTATTCCCTAGGCACTGAGCATTTCTTCCTCCTCAACTTGGGTCTGTTGGTCATGAATTCCCCCTTCTGGGGCCGGGGGAGGGCTGGGGAACCACCCAAGATATACACTAGTCATTTTGGTTCTTTTGCACAGCATTGGTGAAGTGGAGAAAAGCAAGTGGCTAAAAGTGGTATTGATGTTTATGAGAAGCCACTCACCAAAACCTCCCCAGGGCCTGCTATGACCACAGGAGTCAGAGTTGGTTATGATGCCTACAGGACAAATGTCATGGAATCCCCGTGACCACATCAGTCCTTGGGCTTGTGGCCAAGAGATGGACACTCCCCAAACCATGATGATGAGTGCTTCTGGAAAGAAGAATTTGAAATCAAGCCCATGCTGCCATTTGACACTATTGTGACTTTGCTCCTGAACATTGCTTTTGACACTTACCATTTCTTATCAAGCATACTGAAGACCCTGAATGTGGCAATAAACACAGGAGCACACCCAACATCCACACACACATTCACACTGTGCTGTCTGCCCGGGGACCATTTTCGGCAGGATGTACTTGAAATCTTGTCAGAAGGAGCTAGCAATGTGGGTTGGGACAGTAAAGGTCTGCAGTTAACAAAGAGACATTGTCTCAGGGTAGCTTTATGCCTATTCTAATAAGACAGACTAGTTGGAACAAAATGCTCCAGGTCATCCTAAAGAGAACACAATCAGTAGGTGCATAACAATGTCAGGCTTACTTTTCTAAAAGATACAAGAACCTAGCTGTGATTGCTTTTTCTTCTTCTGGTTAATTGTTGAGGCCATGTATGAGGTGATGAGTACTGTATTTTTAGACCACCTTCCTTGGGATAACCTAAAGTCCTAATATATGGAGGGTTATGGGGTGAAGCTATCTGTATATTTAGGAGTATCTTGTTTCCTTCTAAATCTCACCTGTATCTCCCCCTGAAAGATTATTTTTTTCATGGAGTCCTATCTTTGTACTTCACATTTTAAAAGGAGACCCTGAGGGGAAACCAGACCTCACTTTACTCCAGATAATTGTTGTCACTTCATTCAAATCCTTGGAACAGGCCTCTGCTCAGAAACCTCAAAACTATTGTTGTTGTTGTTGTTGTTGTTGTTGTTGTTGTTGTTGTTGTTGTTGTTGTTGTTGTTGTTTTGGTACCTGGAGTCAGACTCTTCCCCCTACTCTCCTCTGACTCCTACACTTGCCAGGCAGTCGTGGTGCCACTGAGATATATCCCTGGATGCTGTTTGTGGCTTCACTGTCTTTGACTTTGGGTCCTGATAGAAGGAAAACTAAATGGTTCTGCTCTGAGTTTGGCTTTATAGGTCTATGAAGAAGTATCCCAAAGCCCTGGTTGGAAATCAGAAGTTAGGATGGTGTGGGGTATTTCACTGTTGTCTCCCAGGCACACATACTGGGTTTTATCCCAACAGAGAAATTCTAGGACCTCTTAGTAGCTGACAGAACTCTATACAGTGATGCCTCAGTTCACAAGTGCTTCTATTTGCAAACAATTCAGCTCTCCAACAAAAGTGTTTGACAAAATTTTCTTCCATTAACAAATTCTACACTGGGTGATAAACACAACTGAAACTGTCTTCCCCACACAAACAAAAATGCAGCCATCTTCCCTGAAATCACAGAAACATTTTAAGTTTGTGAACTGAGTGAGGTACCACTATATTCACAAACACTGAGTGATATGGAAAATGTGATCTGAAACCTTTGTCCTAAAGTATCTGGATAAACAAGAGGTGCTCAACCATTTATTAAGTCACTCCCCCCAAAATAAAAGCCCTCCTATAGTGTCTGGGAGTGGCCATGCCCAAATAGCTGTAATGTGATAGAAACTTTGCTTTGGGATCTTCCTATGAGGGCCTAGGGAAATACCAGTGGCTTATGCACAATAGAATGCACTTGCCTTACCTGTCCTGTTCTCCCCTGACTCCTTTCCTTCCCATCTCCCTGCCCTTATGAGAACTCCTAGTCCTAGAATACTTTACAAGATGATCTAAACATTTCAGGGAAGAGTTTAGTAACCTAGAGCTCATATTTTTTCCATATGCTTCAGTCACCCTTGTCCATCTTCCAGGAGGGGTCAGAGTTTATCCTCACTCACTTCTACTTGGAGTTAAGGCCAGCCGCCAGCTGTCACAGGAGCTGGCATATAGCTTTGGGGCCTCTGGCACTGACTGGAGCACCTTACCCGACTCACCCAAGGCTGGCGAGCTCACCTGTTGCTTCCTTCTGCCCCAACCTGCCATTTTGATTGGTGCATTTTTTGGTACAACAGGAAGTCATGTTCATGGCATACTCTACGAATGAGAAAGCGGGCGGAAGTGGAGAACACGGGTAAAAATGAAGCCACAGGGCCTCGTAAATCCAAGGATATTCTGGGCAACAAAGTCTCTGTTAAAGTGAGTAAGGTATTCTGGAGCTGTGTCCTTCTCATCTACTCTCACTGGGCAGCATTATGACAAGGCAGTTTGGGTGGATGGGGATATTTTATTTTTTGCCCAGTACGGGAACTAGTGGGGAAGTAGTTTAGCAGGATTTTGCATGCAAGATCAATGTATTTTTTAATTTTTTATTTCTCCTGGCAACTTCAATTCAAGTAAGTACCTCTTTTTTTTTTTCTTTTATACCATTCTCTTTATACTGTGCAGAGATGTTTTATGGCAAAATTACCTGCAGCATTATTTTCTCAGAAATGAAAGATGCTTGATTCTTACTCAGTTTCTCCAAGCTGCCCATTCAGAATCCTACGTTTGGGAATACATGCAGGTTTAAAGTGATTAAGGATGCCCTGCAAAGCCCTGGCCCTGGGCAGGCTGAGATTTGGGGTTTATGGGCCCTGTGTCCTTGGTAAAATTTCATTTCTTTTCCCCAGAGTTCAGACAATATTGGCTTTAAGCATTGTCCTTGCCTCCTCTGTGCACTGACATGGTAGGTGCACACCATGACCCCCAAGTTACTGCTTTGTAAAAATCCATCTAGTACTTCAAAGGCACAGGCCTTGTTTTCACCCATTTTGAAACAATGTGATCTGTTTTAAGTTGAGCGTCCAAAAAAAAGCGTCCAAAAAAAAACCCACCTCTGGACAATGGAAATTTGGTTTGAATTATTTAATTTTGTTACAATATGAGATTATCTACCTGGCACCTTCTATACCTTCCTGAGGAAAATAAGAACTAAAAACCATTCTTACATTCCTCCTTGGGGAAAAGAAATTCCGGCTCTCCTTCTGTGTGGGGTAGGCCCAGCCCCACAGAAGACAGCACTTGAACTCCACAGTACTCGTGCTCTGTTGGGTCACTTCTGTTGCTCTTTCCGGTGAGATGGGCAGCTGTGTCGTCCCAGCCTCCTCTCCCTGCAAAGAGCACGCTCCTGCCCTGTGTTCAGAGCCCCATGGTTTCTCTGCCCAGTCTCCCATTTCCCATGCTTCTCCAACGTGCTCCTCTCCTGGGCCAAAGCAACTTATGTTCTAACTGTGTTTTCTTTCTTCCCCTTCTTCACGCTGCCAACCAAGGAGACGAACAGTTCCGAGGAGTCAGAGTGTGATGATCTTGACCCTAATACTAGCATGGAGGTAGAAGCAGCTCTGTTGTCCTATTTCCTACAATGATTGCCTTAAAGAAAAATGTTCTGTCATAGTGACCTTGCGAAAGTGATCAGCCACTGATGTGAAAGCATCTTTGGTGTCCCTAAGTGGGGAAAAACAGCTTAATTTAGTTTTAATTTTGGTAGACAACTCTACACCAGTATATTGTTTAAAATTAAGTTTATTGGTGCATTTTATATATACATAATGATAATATTTATCACAGAGAATTTGTATCTGCACCTGATACAGCTTGCTTTTTTTTTTCCCATTCCCCTGCCCTCCCGCTCCCATCTTATTTACAAAAGCTTTATTTCCATTTTTCCTTCTTTTCTCATTATTTTTCTTTTCTTCCCTTGCCGCCTTCCCCCCACCCCCAGCTTGCCTTCCCATTTGAATATTTTCTTCCTATTTCATAATATTTATTTGTTATACATTTTAGTCCTTATTTACACTTTTGGTTTCTCACACCAAAGAAATAATGTGATGTTTATACACATGTGTCTGATTTATTTCACTTGAGAGTATGAGCTCAAGGTGCATCCATTTAGCTAGAAATGTCTCATTTATCCTTCTTTGTGGCTGAGTAGTACTCCACTGTATATATTTTTTAAACCTATCTGCTTTATCCATTCATTGGTTGATAAGCATTTAGGCTGTTTCAAAGATTTAACCATTACACACTGTGCTGCTATAAACATGGGTTTGCATATATCAATGTAGTATGATGCTTTTAATTCTTTCAGGAAGATACCAAGAAAGATGATCGCTGAATCAAATGGAATGTCTAGTTTTAGATTTTAAAGGAATCTGCCCCACTGATTTCCATAGTGGTTACACCAGTCTACACTCCCACCAACAGTGGAAAAGGGTTCCTTTTCCCCCCACAGTCCTGTTAGCCTTTGTCATTAGTTAATTTATTTTGGGGGTGAGATGGAATCTCAGTGTTACTTTACTTTGCTTCTCTCAGATGACCAGTGATGTATTTTTTTCTGAGGCATTTTTCAGATGAAAAAAGTGCTTCTTCTGAGAAGTATATATTCATTTTGGATGCCCATTTTTAGATTGGGTCTTTAAATATGCGGTCTGGGGGTCTTTGTTGTTGTTAGTTCTTTACATATTCTACATTTTAGTCCTTTATCTGAGAATCAACTGGCAAAATTTTTTTCCAACTTAGGTTGGAAAATTGGTGAGTTCTCTTGCTGTGCAAAGGTTTTTTAATAAGATCCTAGTAGTTGATTCTTCATAATATTTCTTGTGCAATGAGGGTTTTATTCATAAAGTCTTTGCCTACAACTGTCTTTAAGAGTTCTACTTATTTTGGGGGAGGGAGGCCTGCCCCTTAGCTCAGTTCTTTAAGTGGCTGCTTCAACAAGCAGTCAGGCTCAGGTTGCTGTGTTCGATCCCCACGACTCAAGCCAGCCAAACCTGCCCTGAAGGCACTCAGAGAAAAAAA